ATCCTTTGTTTGTTCTTTATATATATACAATATATTTACTAACTCAAATGCAGTTAAAAATAGAATCAAAGGCAAACTGTGGGTCTCCATTTTCCATCTGCTCCAAAAGATGAATGTGTGAAATGATGTGTGATCTGACAGCTAAAATAGTCACTGCTCCCCAAACTGTAACCTCATACCTCTTACAAAGTCTGCATGAGGAATGGAGAGCAATTGGCATCACAGTCAATAGGACTCTGTGCTCATAAAACATTGTCCCAGTTTCATTTGAATGTTGTCACAAGGTTATTCCGGTAAAGTTCCAGCAAATGAGCCAAGTGGCGATTGCTTTGAATATGTTGCAGGCTGACATGGCAATTTTGCAGAGCTGATTTACTGCAAAGATTAATTTCACCTCAATATTAAATTGTGTCATGTGGGAAGACTGCTGAACATTGATTAGGAAGAGAGATGTAATTACTGCATAAAGGTGTTCTGCATAAATATATATTACATGGATTTCCAGTATAGTTAACTGATTGGCAGCTTTAAAAAGGGTAACTGCCAGGTGTGATGTGACTTACAAATCGTGACTGTGGATGAATGATGCAGGTTCAGGACCGCTGAATCTGGTGTGAGACTCCAAAGAAACCAAGTACACTTTGGAGTGGGGGAGGATTTTCCACAATGTTCAGCATTGGCCTAACATTTCTCCCATTGAGGTGAATGGTAAAATTCCCACTGACATCACTGGGAGCAGAGTTAGGCCAAAGCTGAGCGCTTTGGAAATCCCATCATAGAAATGTAAGGCTGGAAGGGACCTTAAGTAGTAATCCAGTCCATGCCCCCATGCTGAGATAGGATCAAGTAAACCTAGACAATCCCTGACAGGTTTATCTAACCTATACTTTAAAACCTCCAGTGATGAAGATTCCACAACCTCCCTTGGTAACCTATTCCAGTATTTAGCTATCCTTATAGTTAGAAAGTTTCTCCTAATTTCTAACCTAAATCTCCTTTACTAGGGATTAAGCCAATTACTTAGTGTCCTAAGTGGGGTGCTGAGACCCACTGAACCAAACTGTAAACCCTGTATATGATGGAAACTACTTCAACTCAGGGGATGCAGCAGCACCCCCACTACTCCTAGTTCCGGCACTGATGTTCAGTGGACTTGGAGGAAAATGGATCACTGTCCTCTTCATAACAGCCGTTAATATATTGAAGACTGTTATCCGGTCCCCCTCCAGTCTTCTTTTCTGAAGACTAAAGAGGACCATTTTTTTTTTTACCTTTCCTCATAGGTCAGGATTTCTAAAACTTTTATCAGTTTTTTTGCTCTCCCCTGGACTCTCTCTAGTTTGTTCACATCTTTCGTAAAGTGTGGCACCCAGAACGGGATACAGTACTCCATCTGAGGCCTCACCAGTGCCAAGTAGAGCAGGTCAATTACCGCCCATATCTTAGATACAACAGTCCTGTTAATATACCCCAAAATGATCTTAGCCTTTTTCGCAACTGCATCACTGAGTTGGTTCATATTCAATTTGTGATCCACTACAACCCTCTGCATTACCACCTCCTAGCCAGTTATTCCCCAATTTGTAGCTGTGCATTTGATTTTCAGAGTCTTTGCATCATCTATCACAAACGTTCTGACATTATGTGTCTGTTTTCCCCTCACATCTGTAACCCTCTCCTCGTCTGTCTTCTACCTCCCATGTGCAGGAGATTGTCGGACAAAACTGTGACAGTCACTAGGGTTGTTTGCTAAATGCTGTGACACGCCACAAATTTACACCCCCCCCAAATGGGTAAGCAAACCATGAAGCTTTAGAGAGAAATTATATTCATGGCCAGGTCACAGCATTTCTTATATGCTTTACGGCAAATCAAAAATAATGATGGTCCTGTCAGACTCAGCACTGTGATTCTGACAGATGTGGCCACACAACTCAGCCCTCACACAGTGAATGCTGCCCCATGTGTTTGTTCTGGTTAATAGGTCCTGACAGGGAAATCAGAGCTGCCCTGAAGCTACAGGCCGGATCTCCCAGCTGTGCCAAGGCGCATGCCCTCTCTGTCCATTTCCTCCTCCCTAGCACTCAGTCCTGCTCTTCAGTTCGCACTGATTATCAGATGCTCTCTAAATAATCCACATACAACAGCAGTTTATGTAAGACCGTTGATGTCAGCGATCATCCAAGTGAAGCCAGTAACTGGAGAAATCCCTGAATAATAGAACATTGAACCTTCAACCAGTCAGATGTCTGTCTAGGGGCATTTTGGGGTGGGTGCAGAAACCTTTAGTGCTCCTTAATGGGTAGAGTTGGAAAAGCCACCAAAAGAGTAAGGTGCTCTTGGTGTGCCCTCTGGCTGCAAAATTTACTCCAGACGGAATAGTCCTGGATGCATCATGGAGACCCTGAGTTTAGCTCTCAGGACAGGTAATTGGCCTCAAAATTACCTTGACACCCACAAAATGGCAGCACATCATATTGCTACCTCCAAGCATCATGGTACAGTATTGTGGTCCATATGATGGGGATGGCCTGTGATATTGGGAAGGGACACAGATGTGATAGCAAATATTTAGACAAATGTAACCACAAACCATGCAATTATACAATTGTAACCATCTCTTGGAGTAATTGCTTCAGAGACACACAGTCTGTTCTTCCCCTTTTTGCCTTTAAAAAAAGAAATGCCGTTTGATAGCCCGTCTGCTTCCTTGTGCTTCTCCTGTCTGTGCTCCACAGTGTGGTTTACACAGCAAGGCTCTGTGTGAACATATCGTGGGCCAAACTCTCCTCCCTGGTGAAAGCCTGGCCTCCTTCTGAGGTCAATGAACTGCATGCTGATCCTGGTCTGAATCTATCTGAGCTGTCAGCCATTTCACCTTGTGTCTTAACCTGATGAATCTCCAATTGCTTTGCACCTTTTACCATCTGACAAGCGATAAAGAGATCACTGAAGCCGCCTTGGGGTGCTAATACTATTGTGAGTATACATGACTAACATTACTTAGATCCTGAAGACCCCAATGCACCTCATGCATTATGTATATGGCACCTCTACAATACTGCCCTGGGGTGGAGGGCTGCACAGTACCCATCTTAACAGTATGTGTAGGGAAGGCTTGGGGCCAGGACACTGCTTATACCAGATGTGCCACTGTTCTTATGGGGTTATCAGAAGAGCCCCCACAGAATAAACTGCTCAGTGTTTATTTTGTCTGCCTGCGAAGTATGAAGGGCTGAGTGTTGCTGGGAACAGAACCTCTGATGTCAGAGTGTTCACAACCTGCTTCTCTATAACTAACATAGCAGAGGGAGTTAGACAGAGGCCAGGACACTGGCACTCCCCTGCCTTTGGTTGGTGTGTCACCCACTGAGTCCCCAGAATCCCTTCCTGTAGCACGCAGGTCCCTCGGCATTCTCACAGCCGAACGCTGAGGAGCATTTCTCTGCATAGTGTGCTAGATCTGGTGCGAATACAGAACAAAGTGCTGGAGTAAATCTCTGTCATGATTTGGAGTCAGGTTCCAGCTCACAAATTTCCCTGTCACAAAAAACACCTCCACAGCTGGCTGGAGTGAATGATGAGATGAGCGGCCCCCAGCCTTGTGGGGATTAAAGGCAACCCTTCAAGCCCTGCTTCCCACCCAACCTCTTCTCTGCTGTTCCCACTACACAGAACAAGTCCCTGACTGTCTCCTATCGGTGCAGCGAGGTGGGAGGCAGGCCAGGGACCCCTCTGCAACAGCTCGGAGTGGAGGCTCAGGAGCACAACTGAGGAGGGACTTGCAGCCTGAAGCGGGGTTTGGAACCCCCATGGAGTGTGTGTGTATGGGGAGGGTTTCCTTTCCCCACCCGCCTGGAGGAAGAGAACGATCTTGCCATTCCATAATTACTCTTTTCTCAAAGCCTGGTACCCATCACCGTTTGGCAGGTCGGAGGGCCAGTACCAGAAGGCTTCGTTCAGGACACCCCTGCAGCGATGGTAGCAGAGAACCCAGTTTTAATTTGCTTCTAATGTCATTACCATTTGGCAGACTTGCCAGAGAGGCCAAGGACTAGGGTTATTTGGGGAAGTCTCGTGGCCTGTGCTAGACAGGAGGTCAGACAGATGATCACAATGATCCCTTCTGGCCTTGGAATCTATGAATCTATGAACTGGCTTCCCCATCACCCACAGAGGCAGCCCCTTCAGGAATTTCTATGTGAAATATCAACTTTCAACAACATTTCTAAGGCTGTTAGAAAAGCCGAAACCCCCCAAGCTCCTCATATTTTTGTTTTCAGTGACCAAAAGTGAAAAATTTCAACCAATCGGGCAAACATTTTCAATGAAACTGAAAAGTTTTCCCCAACCAGACGAAGCTTTTTGACTTTCAATTGCCAAAAACTGAAACATTTTCAAAATGTTTCAATTTTTGACTGCTGATTTTTTTTTTAAAAGTTAATTTTCAGGGTTTGGGGTATTTTTATGAAAATTCAAAAATAGCTATAGAAAAAATGTTGACACAAATAAAAAATGTTTCATTTTCATCACAATTTACAGGGGCAGATAAAGAATATTTTTGACCAGCCGCTGTGAATACACCCAATGTCAGCCTCCACACATATCAGTCCAGTGCCCTTAAACCTTCATGAAGCAGTAATTACTGTCTGGGGTTTTCCGCTCAGTGTCCCCATTCGGTGCCTAGAACTGTGCAAATAATTGATATTTTGGTTCACTGGCTGAACCAAAAAAGTTGAAACAAAAGTTGTTTCATTTAATTTTTTTTTACTCTTTTATGGTTTTTTTTAAACTTTCATATGGAATTGTAATCAATTTAAAAACAAAAATAGTTTTCAATCGAAATGTCAAATTTCAAAAGTAAACGTTTTGATTTTTCTGCATTTCCTTGTTTTTTATTACTTTTGATCATTTGGCAAATTTGACACAAATCTGTGAAATATTTTGGTCAACCTGATTCTGCATTTTTCAGCAAAATAAATTTCCAGCAGAAAACTCACCCAGCTCACTGGTACGCTCACTCCTGGTCCTGTTTCATCATTTGTTGTCCGAGGGAATCTTGTTTTCTGGGCTCAGTGGCCCTTCCTTCATTTGAAGAGGTGGATCTCTCCTAGATGGGCAGAATGCAAATAGGCTAATGCATGCCAGGCTTAAACAACAATGAATAGATGTGTTTGTTTGTGTGTGGCAGGAGCAAGGCGGGGGGCGTGGATCAGAACTTGTCTATTGAGTAAAATGCCTCTCTTCTAATCAACGTTAGGGCATCGTACCTGTATTCTTGCTGGACATCGCAGTCTAGTCCCAGAGAAGTGGCCAGGAGTCCCTGCAAATCCTGCATCTTTGGTTGACCAAAAGAAAAAAATCTGTTGACACCATCTCCCCTGCTGCTCTTTAGTTTAGAATAAGGGCATCAATGAAAGCAACAGTGTCATGTGACTTTGGCTTTATTTGCTGTTATTGCTGCTTTGAAATGAAAAATTGATATAATAGACCTCTCTCAACACACAGCAGTCTGCACATTTGTACAGTGTTCTTTGAGGACAACCAGCACCCACTGGCATAAAAAAAGTGACAGATGCTGTCTGCAAATAATGAGCTGAACTAGTTTCCTTTGGAAGGGAACCTTAGAACAATTCCTTTGAGCTTGAAAAGTCACTGAAGTTCTTGTGAGTATCCGGAGCGGCTTGCGTGTGTGTTTGCTGGAATGGTCATAGCCCATTTCATCACATGGCATAAATATTTCGAAAGCACTTCCATTATAGAGACTTCTCTGGAGACAGGAAATGACAGATTACTCACTGAGAATTTTATATCAAGGAGCAATGCTCTACAGGGAAGAATTTACAAAGCACTCTTTATTGATCCCTCTCTACATACCTAATGTACATGTCGCATATGTGATACATGTATTTATCATGTCCCTTTGGCTGCCTCACCTGCACTCTGTCTACTAATCCATCCTGCATGTGATTCATTCCAATATTCCAAACCCCTGAGCAGTCTCAAACAGCTGCTATTAAAATTAAAAAAAAAAAAAAAACATGCTGCCACAGAAAGGGTTCCTCCTTCTCTCCCCAGAGTGAAATTGTCTTTTCTACCCCTCCAGATTGCTCCAGTCTAAGGCCCACAACTGCTACAGTTCAGTCCTATGTTCGTGACAGCTTTTCTATACATAACAATGTTTGAACGCATCTCCCGACCTTGCAGAGCTAATAGTAGCTTTGCACTGCCGGAAAGGGGAAATTCCCAGCTCCCCAATGAGACATGAGAAAAATGTTTCAGTAGATTGGAGAGGCACAATTTTCCTTTATAGAAAGTCATGCTTCTTTGTCCCAATTATATCACATTCATTTAGGTGTCTCATAATGTTTGTTCCAGCCAGTAATCCTGGTTCTGAAGGAAGGCTCCCGGGTCTGTAATCCTCAGGAACATTGTAGCACATTTTTAAAAAACAGATGCAAGATTTTCTCCCCTCCAGTCCTTTGTTCTAGTAACTGATTTTACCTTTCTCAGACGGGTACCCAATCCAGGGGGCTTGCTTACTGCAAAGCAAGCTCTTGCATTCTCATGGGTGGACTTGGAAAAGTCTATGGGGATTGATTTCTTCCAACATTACTTGTTCTGTAGACCTCATTTAGACTTAAAAGACAAAGCAAGACTAAAGGCTGTATGGTACAGTACTCTAACTTACTGTACATGAGGTAGAATGAGAAATTAAAGTTTGGATTATATGATGCATTTACTGACATCATTTTATTGCTATAATGTGAGACCATAGATTAAGGCATAAACACAAGGGAGCAGAGTTAAGGCTGAGCTTTCACGACAGTGAGAAGTACTTTAGAAATATGTGTAAGCACATGGTAAAATAATGACAGTTAATAACTATATATAGATATTATATATATAAAATATATACCAGAGGGAGTCTGTTAGGGTTCCCTCCCCACTCTGAACTTTTGGGTACAGATGTGGGGGCCCGCATGAAAGACCCCCTAAGCTTATCTTTACCAGTTTAGGTTAAAAACTTCCCCAAGGTACAAATTCTTCCTTGTTCTTGGAACAGTATCGCTGCCACCACCAAGTGAGTTAGACAAAGATTTAGGAAAAGGACCACTTGGAGTTCCTGTTTCCCAAAACTATCCCCCCAAGCCCCTTCACCCCCTTCCCTGGGAAGGCTTGAGAGTAAACAAGGTGAGCACAGACCAGCCCCTTGGGTTTTTAGGACACTAAAAACCAATCAGGTTCTTAAAAGCAGAACTTTATAATAAAGAAAAAGTAAAAGAAGCACCTCTGTAAAATCAGGATAGAAGGTAATTTTACAGGGTAATCAGATTCAAAACACAGAGGATTCCCCTCTAGGCAAAACTTAAAGTTATAAAAAAACCCCAAAAACCAGAAATAAACCTCCCTTTTAGCCTAGGGAAAATTCACAAGCTAAAACAAAAGATACTCTAACACATTTCCTTGCTATTACTTACTATTTCTATAATTTTAGATGTATTATTCAATAGGAGCTGGATTACTTGCTTGGTCTCTCTCTTTGTCTCCGGAGAGAACAACAAAAGACCAAACAAAACCTTCCCCCCCCCCAGATTTGAAAGTATCTTCTTTCCCCATTGGTCCTTCTGGTCAGGTGCCAACTAGGTTAATGGAACTGATTAACCCTTTACAGGTAAAGGAGGGATTTTACGCTACCCTTAGCTCTATGTTTATGACACGGCTTCTTTACCTGTAAAGGGTTAATTAGTTTTATTAACCTAGTTGACACCTGACCAGAAGGACTGTGTTTTGAATCTGATTACCCTGTAAAATTATCTTCTATCCTGAGTCCTTATCAAATTATGGGATCATTGGATCCTTTTGGAGTAAATGGTTCTCTGTGGGCCATACTCTGTCTTATTAAAGCCCATGGAACCCCATTGATATCAATAGGACTGAATAGCTGTAACTGGGAGCAGAATTTGGCCTATAATATCTGTTGTGGAGGACACAGATGAGACAGATACAGTGAGAGTTTGTTCCAGTGGGAGCACTCACTCCAGCATCAGCCACTCCAATTTCCCTTTAAACTCCTCACATTCCTAAAGGCCACTATATGACATATTTTCAGAATAGAGAATAGTTGTTGATAAATCCAGTTCTAACATGCAGTACTTTAATTACATTTGCATGCCATTTCATTTCACTTGAGCTACAGTTCTGTTGCCTTTAAAATTCCTCCTGTTCTGCTAGGACTGAGTATCTATTTGACAGGTTCTCAGTATTATTCAATGGACTCCACCTTGCCAGACAGATCATCCCCTGGAATGAAGGAAGACTTTTAAAGGGACAAGAAAGAATGGTAAGGTTGCAAAGTCAGGCACACAAGTTAAAAAATGCCAGAATTAAGATTGAGGTATGTAGGTCCTGATTTTCCAGAGAGCCTAGCATTTTATATCACTTTATAAGTTCAAAACTCAGCCTCAGTCAACTTAACTACCTGTAAAAGTACTTGCCTAACATCATATAGGAGCTCTGTAGCAGGGGCAGGGATAAAACCCATCACTGCAGAGCAGCATTCAACTGCCTTAACAATGAAATCATCCTTTCTTTTCCTGCAATCCTCTGCCTCATCCACTCACATTCCAGTTTCTGCAATAAATGAAGCAGGGGTCCTACAGACAACAACTTCTTTATCTACACAGCCAAACCTGCTTCATCCCCAGAGGGCTACCTGTCCTGTGCACTGAATAAGGCAGGGGTCCTGTAGAAAAAATACTATGTGATCATGTAATCGAGGACTGTTTCGTAATGTGTATACACAAGGCCCTTTAAAACAGGGAGCTGTCGTTGCAAGTCACAAGCCTTCTCCCAGTCATGTGTCCTAAAGGATGCCATAGGAACGTAGTGACTGCCAGACAGGATCAAACCCAGGGTCCGTCTAGCCCAGTATTCTGTCTCTGACAGTGGCCAGCTAGATGCTTTAGTGGAAGATGCAAGAATCCCTGAAGTAAGTGGATAGCCACAGCTACATCTTCCGGCCCCATAAGCAGAGGGGCAGAGAAGAGAGACATGGGACAGGAAAGGACCTGGGAGAGGACAGCTGTAGGGAGGCGCCGGCGATGAAACTCTGGAAGAAGGGTGTCGTGGACCACAAAGTCCTGGAGATGAGGACTAAGGCAAGATTCCCCCCCGGCGGTAACACTGGATTGCATTGCTTTGCTTTGCTTCTTGGTTTCTATGTTAATAAGCAATGGCCCGGCCAGCTGGCGGCTCTACTCAATAGCTACCAGGCCCCTCTCCATATCACTGTGAGGAGGAGAGACCAATGGCGGGGCTGGGTCAAGAGGGAGGTGAGGGAGACCGGGAGTCCAGGGCTTCTGGAAGAAGCCAGGGAGAAAGGGATGTGTCAGTGCTGTGAGGGCTGGCTCTGGCCCCACTCCCCTCCCCCTCTAGGCACACAGAGAGCAGGGAAACTCTCCATGGCTTTGCCTGTGGTGGGTGCCATTGACAACCAGTAGGCCCGAGCGCCTCTTTGCTGGCAGGTCTCTGCATGTGGGAGCTGCTCCTGTTGTTCCCCTAATGGGATGGGGAAACTTCAATTGACAGGTTTGTTTGGGCGCTTGGTCTCCCCCAGCCCTGGGGTTAGGGTGACAGGAGGTATGGGGCAGAGGCAGGGGTGGTGCGGGGGAGTCTGGGTAGGCTGTAGGATTCAGGGATGGCTGGGTTTGGAGAAGATGGGGAGCCTGTGGGGTCTTGGGGAGGAAGAGGATGAGGGGGGTCCTGGGGAAAGTGGGGAGAGACTGATGAGACAGAAGACTAGTGATGGCATGAAGCTCCAAACACAACAATGCTGCATTGGGACTCAGAGGCTAATCTGGCTGGGTATCCCCAGACTCCTTAAACCAGCCCTGCCCATCTCACTCACTCCCTAAATACCTAAACTGCAGCCTGCCCAGTGCCTTTGCTGCAGTCTGTCCTGGATGCTTTGAGGCCTCTGCTTTCACCGACACCGAAGCCGCCTCGCCCTGCCTGGCTAATTGCACATAGCAGTATTAATCCGAAATGTATCTCTTACCTTATATGCCACCTGTTTTGCAAATCGTGGAGCAAAGCCCAAGTGAAGCAGAGATTATGTAACTGTGGGCCCTTCCGTTAGTGCGGCTCTGAACTCCTGATGCTTCGTGCTGCAGTGACACTCCTTGACTGGCTCTATGCAGCAGGTTGGAGTAGTCACACAGCAATCATTTACTAGACCGAATCAGCCATTTAAAAACACAATCACTATTAGCCCCAGTGAACCATCTTAGCTGGAGCTGGGACAAACAGGAATTCTCCCTAGGAACAAAGCCCACTTGGTCCAGGAGTCAGTGTTTCTTCCTCATTATCTCATGTCTGACTGCAGCATAGCCCTTGTACGTCTGCTGCCAGCACAGCTGGTTGCCAGAGATTTATTAGGTGATCAATACGCTTGGCTTTCATGTTTCTCCATGATGTGAGCCTGCTCCCATGTTCTCATTATGTGAATGAAATGTGAAGGCAGCTCTGCACTATTGATCTCATGTTGTCGACTGGCTCCTGCCTGAGTCTAGAGTCTCTGCAGTGCTCCCTTACTGCTAGAAGGCAGGGTTAATTCCACCTTCTACTCTTTTCCACATCAAACGTGCCAGCTTTAGGACCGGAGAAATCTGCCCCATTCACCCGTATACTCCCCTCCACAGACAGACCACGCTTTGGGGTGATAGCCACAGGAAAAACAGAGCTTCCAGTTTGTTTACTACCTATTGGCACAAGTCCACAGGGCCAGCTTTTTACATCTCACATTCCAGGCTTTGCATACTGTTCTCAGAGCTGCAGGAAATGGCATGCCATTCATTACTATTATTCTTTGTTGGGTCACTGGGACCCCATTGTGTTGGGTGCTGCACGGCTGCATGTTCAGCTGGTGTTTGTAAAAAATAGCTCCAGTCTATGAGTGTTTTGCGGAGATGCTTTCTATCCAGGTTGCATTTTAAAGGTTTTTGTGTGACTCTGTGAGTACAGTGTGCTGGGATGGGCAGGGCAGAGGATGATCTGAGCAGGTGTCCCTGGAGAGGTCCCTGTGCAGCGGAGGAGAAGCGATGATGCCTCAGAGATTCTGGGGGAGCATTCTCTGTTGCCAACACTTCCAATTTTATCAGGAGTTTCATAGCACAGTATTTGGTGTTTTGCCTAAAGCCCCAGCACCTGGAGTCCTGTGACTCTGGGAGAATCTCATCTGTCAATGAAAAATAGAAGTACACTGCTGGCATAGGAAAGCTGGAAATGTGACCCCTAATAGCTCCAAAAACAGCAGACACGTTTTTTAAAAAATTGTAATTTTAAAGTAATTCATGAATGTTGCGCCAATCTCATGATTTGGGGGGACCTCACCCCTGGTTATGGAAGGTGTATTGTCAGCCATGCTGAACATAGGCCTTGCTGCAGGTGAAGCCTGCCCTCCATCATGGCCACAGGCCAGCAGGTGGAAGGGGAGGGTGTGGCTGCACCCCTGCCATCCCATGACATCCCCACCCTGAAGTGTAAATGTTGCACTTGGCAGCCCTCCATCCAAGCAGCTTCTAGTAGCCCTCCCAGAGCACTTCTAGCCACATGGGTCTGCTTAATTATTGGAAGCACTAGAGGAATGAGAAGGCTCCCTGCATTCTCTCCCACACTGGGCAGTCATTACTTAACCCTAAGTGCTCTCTCTGCTAAATCACAGTCTGTGCCTCTTCATCACTTCTCAGTGGCTTGCACTCCGTTAACAGGCTCCTGCATGGAATCGAAAACTGGTCAGTGCCATCTATAGGTGAGAAGTGAAAACTGCAAGTGATCCTTGCTAATTTGCATAATGCCACAGAAGACATGATGAAAATAATGACTAGGATTTATTATTCTACAGTTTGTGCTAATTATTTCAAGTCAAGATGTTAAAAATATAAAATTGTATGTTGGACTTTTTAATTGGGCCATGATTTGGGTTAACGAAGTAACTTTTAAATCACTCTCCCTAATAAGCAGAAAGCACTAGAAAAGGGGGGTTGACTGGAAACATAGCTAATTAAAATAATTCACTTGAGTTTGATGGGAGCTGGCTTAGATCCTAAAGCACTCAGTGAGGTTAGATGAATGTAAGTGCTGTTGTGGATCTGAATTGCTTTAGTCTTAGCTCTGCAAGGGTCTCTGAGGAGCAGTGCACGTTCACATGTTGGCTTGTCTTTTGCATGGTTTGCTCTTGTCTAACTTTGTTTCTTTAATAGACAAAAAATCCTGCATGAGATCATTTCTAGGGAGACCCAGAGGTCTTTGCAGCTGCCCCTCAACAATATATTGCAAAATAGCCTGTATAACATCTGTTAAAATTTTATTAATGCATCATACTATGGAGGTGATTACTACAAGAGCAATGGATAATGATTTTTAAGTATCATTCTTCAAAAATATTAACACATTTATAAGCAACGTCCTAATTTGAAGTGATATCATGTTCTCTTAGTTGTAAGTAGTTATTAATTACAATGCTACAGTAAAACTCATTAGGGAATATATTAAAACTTTCAATTACTGTCACTTTTATTCAGGAAGATTAGATGAGCTTTTTTTTTGCCTTCAGCAAAGATCTGGAAACATTTGCTAATTTCTTAGTACTGTAGTTATTTCTATGAAATAGTGTGATCCCTCATTTACATATAAGAAAGCATTTTCTGTAGTCAGTCTGACCTATCCTGTTTATATCCAGAAATTGAGCTGAAGACACACGTGATAAAAAAGAAGTCCTCTCTTATGGAAACTAGCAGCACTTTGTGCAGTCACATGGTGAACATTGAGGATTCGTTCTGGGCCTTATTTAACCTGTTCTCTAATGTTGTGCTCTGCATGGCCCTTAGACAGTAACGGGGATGAGCAAAGCTCAGTGTTTTCTTCTGGTTCATAGGGTTATGCAAACATTTCCTTTAGTTTCACACTAATTGGAGTCCCTCCCCCTGGTTCTTACCACTTGAATTTTGCTTTCAGTTTCATGCTCAACCTCCAAGCAAAACCCATTTGAAACAACTGAGGTTCTCCTGGTTGCAGACCACAACTGTGAATTTTATATAATTTCAAAGCAAAGCCATAAGGCAACCCCAGGATCACTTGAAACTGGGCCTGGGTTTGTCCAAATTCTATGTGATCTGCAGAAATTTTTTTCTGAGTTTAACAGGCGAATTTTGTCCTGTTGCATATTTCAAAGGAAACATTCCATGTGATTTTACATGTGATTTTACCCACGAAACATGATTAAACGTGCAATTATAAGCTACCCACATTGTGACGCTCTCCATCTCTGTCCTGGCTCTGAGTAGATGTTATTGGTTCCATAAATGCTGCTTTGATGAATCATACATAATAGTGCTAAAAAACATCTTACAAAGCTCCATCTGTCCTCTCTGTGGCATCCAGCTTGAGAGAAAGGGAATCTCACGCAATTCCATTCATATCTCACGTTTGCAGGTTTGTGTTGTTAGAATCATCAGATAAATTGGCCGCATGGAAAAACACAGAAATAGCAGCCATCGAGATTTAGTTAGTGATCTCGGCCAGGTGATATACCTGCCAGCATGGAAAACACAGGCTGAAAATCTCAGGAATCTAGAGCTCTCTGAGAACTGGATTGAATGATGGTGGGAAAACAGCTATTTCACCATGCCTGAAATCACACTGTCCACTGGCAATGCAGTACTCTGCAAATACTAGTTGCCCCCTGAATCCATTTGCTCTTCCCCAGCAGGTCCCTCAAGTCTTCATTTGACATTCCTTTGACAGTAACAACACAGCGCTCTTCTGAAGCATTGTCATTCTGAGGGTGCTGTGCAAACATTACTGAGTGGTTCTCAAGACTTTTATCTGTGGAGCTGTTCATGGGCAGGTGTGCAGAATGGGAGGTTTGCAGAAGGATGGAGAGGTAATCTTTGATCTTATTGAGTAGCCCACAGGATGAAGGAACCGATCTAATCGTCACACACACACACACACACACACACACACAAACACACCCTGTCAAGGTTCCCTCCCCACTCTGAACTCTAAGGTACAGATGTGGGGACCCGCATGAAAGACCCCCTAAGCTTATTTCTACCAGCTTAGGTTAAAAACTTCCCCAAGGCACAAATCCTTCCTTGTCCTTGGATGGGTACTGCTGCCACCACCAAGTGAGTTAGACAAAGATTCCGGGAAAGGACCGCTTGGAGTTCCTGTTCCCTAAAATATCCCCCCAAGCCCCTTCAGCCCCATTCCTGGGGAGGCTTGAGAATAATATACCAACCAAATAGATAAACCAGATCCTTAAAAAAACAGAACTTTATTATGAAGAAAAAAAAGTAAAAGAAGCACCTCTGTAAAATCAGGATGGAAGGTAACTTTACAGGGTAATCAGATTCAAAACACAGAGGATTCCCCTATAGGCAAAACTTTAAAGTTACAAAAAACAGGGATAAACCTCCCTCTAAGCATAGGGAAAATTCACAAGCAAAATAAAAGATAATCTAACGCATTCCTTGCTATTACTTACTATTTCAGTAATGACAGGTTTCAGAGTAACAGCCGTGTTAGTCTGTATTCGCAAAAAGAAAAGGAGTACTTGTGGCACCTTAGAGACTAACCAATTTATTTGAGCATGAGCTTTCATGACCTACAGCTCACTTCATCGGATGCATACCGTGGAAACTGCAGAAGACATTATATACACACAGAGACCATGAAACAATACCTCCTCCCACCCCACTGTCCTGCTGGTAATAGCTTATCTAAAGTGATCATCAAGTTGGGCCATTTCCAGCACAAATCCAGGTTTTCTCACCCTCCTGGATTTGTGCTGGAAATGGCCCAACTTGATGATCACTTTAGATAAGCTATTACCAGCAGGACAGTGGGGTGGGAGGAGGTATTGTTTCATATTCTCTGTGTATATATAAAGTCTGATGCAGTTTCCACGGTATGCATCCGATGAAGTGAGCTGTAGCTCACGAAAGCTCATGCTCAAATAAATTGGTTAATCTCTAAGGTGCCACAAGTACTCCTTTTATTTCTGTAATATTAGATATATCAATTCAGTAGGAGCTGGATTACTTGCTTGGTCTCTTTCTTTTGTCTCCTGAGAGAAC